GTGGTCTTGTTTGATGCTACTGCAAATCAATAAATAGTCTGCTGTTAATAATAACTGTTTTCTTTTAATTTCATTTGTTTAAAATCATTCAACACAATATCCGTCCCCAGTGGAGAAGGAGGAGGGCTGGAGGAGTTGTATTTTCGAAAATCTTTAACAGCCTTACTACATTTGTACGGGCAATGTTTCATTTGATGGTGTATTTCTCTATATTTGAAATCGCAATTTTCACATTTGAAAGTAATAATATACAGATTTTGAAATTGCATGTAATATCTGGCCTCCATATTTACATTTTACCTACCTATGTTACATTTGAACTTGTTACGTTCACATTTGAAGGGAAAATACTATGTTAGAAAGAATATTAATACAAATGAAGACTTCAAGAACATAGTCAAAAATCATTTGTCTGCTCTTATTGATCTACAGAATTTTCGACAGTCCTTCCGGAACACAATGCGCATGTGCACACCTCGGCGCTCCTCATTGGCTGAGATAGAACAGAGGAGGAGTTTGTGGCGGGGTTCCTTCCAAGCCAATGTCGGGTTTCAAGTAAACTGCAGGTTATTTCGACCTTATTGGTGTTTCAAAGTCTGTAAAGTTCAGCTCTATAGGCTGTCTATCTTACAGTACAGCTAAGTTCGGAAATAATGTTTGAAAGAATTCACCAGTTTATTCAAACATGTGACAATAAACCGAGATTAATGCGTTTAAATGGGTCAGGAGAAATTGTTTGGACCTAACCATATATTAGCAATGTTTAATTATGATTGATGATAATAGATAGTATTAGTTGTATAGCGCATATATTCGCCCAGCAGTGATTTCTCTATGTTTCACAATCTATATAAAAAGAGGCTCTCATGGTCTAGAGGTAGTAAGTTCGCTTCGCTTCCAATAGGTCCCGGGTTCGAAACCTGACAGCAACGACAAATTTTGTTCTCTATAATGTTCTCCTTTCCCCTTCTTTCCTGCTTTCTCGTCTTGTTCTTTCATCTGTTTTCAACTCCACTTGCAGATACCACCCCCCTCCCAACCCCAATTCCCCCATCCTCTGGGGTTGATTCTTTCTTCTGCTACTCCTGGCTCCTTTCTAATGTCTTTTAGTCACACCTCTGATCTTAGGGTAGGTAGAATCGAACACCTAACTTTTTCTGATAAGGGCAGAGACATCTCAGAGGTCCTGTGTGCAAGTTGCTCAAGTTAAAGATCCCTTCATGATCCTAAAATCGATGAGTAGAGTTTACCGCTACCCTGGAAAAATTCAAATTGAATTCCTACAAAAGCTGCAAATTAACAACCAACTTGTATCCTGCTCGCTCATAATTATGACGTACTGCGATCGCCGTAAAACTCTTAATAAAACAACAAACGAACAAACAAACAAGCAAGAAAAAAACCCCACAATCTATACTATTACCCCAGCAGACCCAAGAGCACTCAGAAACAATTACGGAGTTCACCGGGAAGCATGAAGGTGCAAGCAGACAATTAAGTGTTAAAACACTCACAAACTGACGATATCTTATGTCGTCTACAGCCGCATATTATTATCTTTGTGTTGCGGGCCTAACAGCCTAACCACTAGACCACCAACGTTTTCTCTTAGCCTTCGTTATTTTATGTAAATGTTTAGCTACATTACAATAATCATTTTCCCCTAAGTGAGCCACGCTAAAAACAAGGATGCAAAACACACCTACACATAAGAATGAGTCTTTAGAACATAATTTGACTATGCCAATACTGTTATCTAACACACTGTTCTGTAACTGTAAGTACGCTGATATTTTGGTTGCCTCTAGTAAGACAGAAAAAGGACGATGGTGTATACAATTGGAAGAAGAAGAAGAAGAAGAAGAAGAAGAAGAAGAAGAAGAAGAAGAAGAAGAAGGAGAAGAAGGAGAAGAAGAAGAAGAAGAAGAGGAGGAGGGGGGAGGGGGAGGGAGAAAAGGAGTTGCTGACAATGGTGATGATAGTAGTGACTTAGGAGCCACATACTCCCTCACTCCCATGCTCACTCGTAGAATTATTTTACATTCCAGCTCTCAGGCCACGGACGCCCATACTTTAACAGACACTCGCACGGTTGGCCAGGGTTCGAGGCCAAGCACCAGTAGCCAGGGGTCCACCCATAACAACATCATCAGAAGAATTGACGGCCCAAGCACCACAGGTTTCGATTGATCAGCCGAAAGACATTACTAATGTGTAATAGTTTTAGGGCTTTTTCCCAGCGAGAGGTCAATCGGGTCATTTAATGTATATCTCTTGAAGTAGGATTGTGGCTGATACACTGATAATTATTTATGTGTCGTGGGCGAAGCTTCTGACTACAAGTAGTATTCTTATGACTTTAATAAGTTATATGGATACTAGCAGTACGTCCTATTGCAGTATCAATAAATTTCATGGCGTGTTCCCCTGATGTTGTGATGTATAAATTGTAGATATTTTTTAATAAAGTTGTGGAAAAACCAAAAACAAGCAGCTCTGCTCTTTCGACTTGTTCAGTGCAGTTAAAAGCTGTAAAACCATGAGGCCAATAGTATTGGAAATTACGCATAAGCTTGTACACTTTTTAACACCGGGGATCAGTTCGATAAACTGTATTATGAATTAACTTAAGCCTCTGTCTGTCTGTCTGTCTGTCTGTCTGTCTGTCTGTCTGTCTGTCTGTCTGTCTGTCTGTCTGTCTGTCTATATGTCTGTCAGTCTGCCATTGGCACAGCCTTTTGTGGAGGAAAAAACCCCTTCGCCCTCGTCACTAAAAGCAAGACGTGAAATCAGCAAAGCATAATAATCAATATAAATTTATTACAACATAAGAATTCAAAACGTTGTTGATTAGATAACCCACATGAATAGAAGAGCTCAAACAAAGTTCTCACAAATAAATAGAATATTGTGTTGCAAAAATTCTCAACTTTATGAAAATCGTGGTCAAGATCCACCCGTCAATGCAATTCCAATATTAGATTTACATGTATGCTACTTTATACGACATAATAATATATCCAGATCTATACGTAGATTCGACATAACCAAAAAATGCGGACAAACTAGAATTTCCATAACAATATTGTTTGGCAAATCATCATCAATTGGCATGCCGCATCAATTTCAATCAACGCTTACTGGAAGTCAACTACTAGCGAAAATCGATTTATTAAGTAAGGTTTGGTAATTTTTAACAATGATAAACGTGATCGAACGTTACAAAATATGATGCTGAAAATGCTGCAGCGCTTATGTGTCACGAATTGGTGGGATCAGGCACTCGTCAATTTTCGGGCAAGTGGAGTTATTGGTATCATTCGATAGTGAAAGTTTGTTCATTTGTTTTGCTTTCAATGAAAAAATATGCATCTATCTTGAATTGAAATCAAGATATTTCCAATTGAAGGAGTTGAGGTCGCCTGGTTTCAGTGGTGAAATTAGCGAGAAAATAGCTACCAACGTTTGGTAACTCTAATAGTTACATATTTTGCGCCTTTATCAACGTTTTTCCAATAACATTCACACGCAGATATGTTTTTGTATTGACATAAATGGGTTTGAGCCACACAAAAAAACACCACAAAAATTAGATAAAAATTGCCTAACTTGCGGGAAAATGCCTGTTTCTCCTATTTCGTTATTTTGACGAGCGTCTGATTTCACCACGATGCTTGTCTTATTGATGTCCTGCTGTATGTTTAAACCAGTTCTGCACTAATACATGGAGGAAAATGTAAGTGTAAACCTTTACGTTGATTTCTGAAATGGAATTGCAAAATTTGGTATTAATATGCTTCTTGAACCACAAATAAAAATATCACACTTCATAAAAAACATAGTGATGAACACGAAACCACACAAAGACACAGCTATGGACGTGTTCATTTACAGAAACAAGGTTGGGTGGGGGAGGGAGGGAAGGGTTGCAAAAAAATCTGTTCGGTTAAAACTGTATGGTGTAACAATAAGATGGTTGTTAGACAATGGCATATTCTCCTCTGACACCAGAACTGTACACACTAACCTGAAATCACGATGTCCCTGCATCCACCACTATAATACATTTAGTATGTATCCAATAGATTTATAATCTAGTTTCAAATCTGTTACAGAGGATAATAATTGATATCTCTGTTAAGACAAGTAGGCATAAAGGCATTTCCACTTTGAATTTCTGAGGATTTTAAAAATCGTTTTCAATAATTTTTAACGTAATAAAAATATTCCTGTTAATAGATAGTTCAAGGGAAGATGTACGTTTTCTATCCTTATATGAATCAGATAAAGGGAACTTCGGGTGCAGCTATTATAACTAATAACATGTTGGTTTAAAAGAATGATCATTTTGTGGGGAAGTTCACATATTTCGAGAACCCTACTCAAAGAAAATCATGAAAATCCAACTCTTCTTGTGAATAGATCACATTCTTGGTAAACATGGAATCTTTCTTTTACAAAAGTAATGAAAAAAGGGGAAAGCTATAAACTGTATGTAATGAATTGTATTTTTATGAGGGGTCACATACACCTCTAGAGCTGACAATAGGCATTATTGCATGTCGAGGTTCTGCCACCGGAGCCTTTGGTGTATAAAGAATGGACAATTGTTAAAGACGGCTTCGATTCCCACACAATACGGAAGTTCATGAAATTGGGGTTTTCTGTTTTTCTGTCAGCCCGTCCAGACCCCACAAGCGCGGTGGAAGCAGCTCACCCCCAAAATGATCGGCACTGTTGCAATCTTTTTTCTTTGGGGGAAAGTTGGGGCGACAGTAACAATCAAACAAGAATAATGTTGCCCCCTGTCCCATAATCTTTTTTTTAACCTCAAGGGTGAACAAGCATTGACAACATTTTGATTATCGCAAGTCATGCATAACGAACATTTTTTTTTTTTAAAACAAACAATACTGACTGTACTGCTGTACAGAAAAGTCTCACTTACTATCCTTTCCTATTAAAGTTCAAGTTCAACCTGGGAATTTAGTAACGTGAATGACTTGAAACAAAAAAGAACTGTAACTGACTTTTTTGTAAATATAAATGTAATTTTTTTTCAACACATAGCTCATTATGGAATTGCAGTTTTAGAAAACCTCTTAGGTTAACTGTTCCATAACCTCTAAATAAACATATTTTCAAAGACAGACGCCTACAGAAAGCTTGCAGAGATAATTTCCACCTTTTCTCATTAAACAACCCCAACTTACCATGGAGGAATATAAATTTATAACGCATTCACACTGAAAACGTGTCTTCTTGTATAATCTTCACGCGACAGTAACTCTTCGTATACCAAAGGCTCTCCCTGCTTCGTACTTAGCCAGTATTGCCATCCAAGTTTTCAGTATCAAAAACTTCCCTATAAATCCGTTTTTAATCTATTTGCATAAAATAAACAACGCCAAACTGAGTAGAAATGAATATTCAAAGCGGTAAACATACAGTTTAGTTATAGATAGGATGAATTTGCATAAGTTTGGTAAATCTTTGTTATAACTGTAACAATAATGTGATGATGCATCCCAGCTGAACTGGCGCGCAGTACTATAAATGATAGTATAACAATAAAACTGATAACAACACGTGAAGGGCAGTTCACTCATTTGCGTAAAAAAATTATTGTAAGATTGCGTGTAGATAAAAAATAGAAAGCATTATAAGAAAGGAAACACACCAGAATTGCAGATCACTCCTTTGTATGAGGGTAACAATAGTAACAATAGTAATGGTAATAAAGTAATTGGTCGTCCTCGAGAGGAATTAATAGAAAAAAGACAGAGGTGCCTTGAGCACAGAGACAAAGAGGGAAAGAAGAACTCCGAGAGTACCGACTGACTTGATAAAAAGGTAGACACGACGTCCTAAAATGATTCATCAAAATCATATCGTCGCAGATCATTTTTGTTTCGGTTATAATTAAAATGTCATCCATTTCGGTTGAATAAGAGAAGCACTTGTCTGTGTGTATCATGGCAACTTAATCCATTGTAAAACTAAGGAACGGATTTTAAACACTCGGACTGCAACGTTGGTGTCATTTTCAGTAAATACTCTCATAGTCTCCATTGTATTCTCAATAAAAGTCGCTAAAAATATCCTCAAATCGAGGGGTGTAAAGTGTCACAAACTAACTTTAACGAGGAAATAATATTTTGTTTAACCACGCCTGCACAAACCATAGCTAGCACTTAATATTAACTCAATCCCAGAGGCTGACCGTCTGTACACAAACCTTCGTCTCTCGGATTTGAACTCTCTGCTAAACAACCAACACATTTTGATGTTTAAGTTCAAAGTCTTTCGGTGAACCTGACGTACAAACCATGCACATATTGCGTGAATAATTTGCAGTTGCATCCGCTGAAGTTGCTGGTGACACCGATGATGTTTTCGTTGGTATTGGTGTCTTACTTCACGCTGATTTTTTTTAAAGAGGGGAGGGGGTGAGGTGGATATTTGTTAAGGGGGGCGGGGATGCGTTTTCTTTGATGAGGACCTCAATGTCACGACGATGATGTCAATGACAGAAAAGTTAAAAGGAGTCGACTCGATCCAGGCGCATTCATCAAGTCTTTGTGCTCATTTGCCTCTTGATGCCCATCTGCAACAACAACAAAAAATTAAAAATTAAAAAATTACACGGAGGATTTAAATAACTGACTGTTGTTTTGTGTGCGTGCACGCACGTGTTTGTGAGTGAATGTGTGTATGTTTGTGTGTGTGTGTGTGTGTGTGTGTGTGTTTGTGTGTGTGTGTGTTTGTGTGTGTGTGTGTGTGTGTGTGTGTGTGTGTGTGTGTGTGTGTGTGTGTGTGTGTGTGTGTTTTGTGCATCAGCAGTATTGGGTGGGCTGTAAAGAGGGTGGGGCTTGCCGTGACCAAACATAGAGAAGATTGTAAAGGATGCACTGAAAAGACAGTGAAGCAGCGTGAAAATTGGTTCTAAATATTATAATCTTATTAGTGGGAAATCCACGTCTGAAACCAGGAAAAGGGACTCACCTATGCGTCTTTATACAGGTACAAGATTTGTGTCCTTCGGTATTTATACTGAGCAAATTTGCCGATATATATTTTTGTTTCGAACGGTGCTTCCTTCAGAGGAGCCATTAATGAATCAAAGTTTTATTTAGCTTTTCATCCACAAAGAGTGTACTGATGAAAGGTGCAAGGTGGGATTCGGGGGGGGGGGGGGTATAAAGCAAAGAAATATTCCTGAATATTATGCTCCTGCACTGCCCCAACCTCCCCCCCCCCCCCCGGTCGTACTGGGTTTCTAGTTTCTAAAGGAACAACAAACAAGCAAAAAAAAAACACACAAAAAAAAACACTCCCAACCCCCCTCCCAAAAACGCCAACCATTCAACGGCTAATAACTCAATCATCTTTGGACCAATTTCAACAAAATTTCGAAGAAATGAAATTCAACCAGGGGAACGTTACATTAAGTTGCCAGTATGAAAAACCCTAAAACAAACTGTGATCTC